TAAACAGTTATGGTATCTCCCCTTCCGCCTTGGGTTATCCGCGTTTCCGGTAGCATCCTATTATGCCTGCCCTATTGCAATTTTTACCGTGTCTATTTAGCTAGTTTGGTGTGCTCATTTGAGCGACATGACACTTAATCCCCAACTCTCGTTCTCGCCCCTCACCTCATCTTAATGCAGGGAATGTTGATCAGAGTCTGCTTTATTATTATGCAGTCCTCTTCCCTAGTCTTATCCCAGTCTCCCTCTCAGGGAATGTTGATCAGAGTCTGCTTTATTATTATGCAGTCCTCTTCCCTAGTCTTATCCCAGTCTCCTTGCTCCGTCAAATCCGGCTGCCCTACCCCTTGTCCACCTATTTCACTCGACTCCTGCCAAAACATCTGTCCTACTCGTGTCGACATACTCGACAAAGATTGTGAGAACACAAAAATACTTGTAAAGGTAGCTCAGTCCAACGGTCACAAGTAGCGAAATACATGGCAGAAACTGGACATGAAATAAAATGGTCTCAAACTAGTAGGTTTGCTGATTATGGTACGTACGTAAGTGGCTAAATAAGGCTATTGAAATTTATAGCTTATAAAATACATTGGTGTGAGGAAATGTGGTAGAAAGTTGAGTAGGAATTACTTATGCTTGTTGATAGATTGAAGGAGTGTATTGGGCAGCCGTCAAATAAAGGCGACTCAATTTGTCTGCTCAGTAATGGTTCTAACTTCACTCACAATCGTCCAACATGTAGAATAAACTCATCAAAGAAACTAGTTGCCAGATTACGCAACCCAAGTCTTACCTTTCTTTGGGTATTAATCGTTAATGACCTTAGACTGAGAGGTTAAGACAAGTGGTTCCGTAACTTGACTTTCATACTTACAAGCTCATATCTCATTATCTCAACCATACTTGCTTATGGAATTAGGCAGTCTCGGTCAAGGTTTTCTGTTGAATCATTAGTATTTGATCATCAGTCTGACATCAGTCGGTCGGATTTAGGACCGGTATTGCGGATAGACGCTAACACACATACTCGAATAGGTAACAGGACCAATATAAAGGATAATTAGCCAAACCACTATATATAGATCTATCTAGGTTTTTAATTTTATTTTGGCCTAATTGAGTCTATATAAGAGCCGGATAGTGTTCTTGGCCTAGTGTTAAAGTGAGACTTACAGGAATGACAACCAGCTCTGACGATGTCCATTATATGATGAACGAAATCTCAGCCCGTTTTCACCCGAAACGAAGGAGCAGGTCTCGTGGACTGCGTAAACCTGAACATCGCATAGAAACAAAAGGCTGCAGTTCAGCTGAATTCATCCGTTGACACCCAGTTCTGATAATGTACATTATATGATACACGAGAGCTCAGCCCGTTTTCACATGAAACGAGGAAATCTCTTGGACTGCGTCAACATGTACATCGTATAAAAGCCAAAAGGCTGCAGTACAACGAGATTCATCCGTCCTTTATGTACTTTCATACTAAATGAAATGTTATCTCAGGAGATTAGCTAAAACCAAGCTTCTCTTTGTAACTCTGTGTTTACGATTGCATATCTCAGTGACGATTCCGATGAAACATTTGGGAATATACCAAGTCAATGAACAGAGGAATAGATAAGTTCCACAAGGTCTCCTTAAGGCTCCTACCAAGTTGCGAAAACATAGTTGAACTATAAGTATAAAAGAGAAGGCAATACCATCTTCGTCTTTATATCTACGATATAATAAGTAGGCTTGAAATTGGACATCTTTCTCGATATAGTGTTTGCGTTAATTATCCTTAAGCCTGCTCTGACGATGTAGGCAGGATGAAGCTCAGCATGGATTCACGAATACATTCGACGAAATGAAGGGTACCCTATCACAAATCATAATATTTCTCGCATAGCTAAGCTATAAAAAGTAAGTAGGATTGCAGCCAGCCACCTTTCTTTGTGCTTAGAGGATTAATGTAAAAAATGATGTCTTACTCTGACGATATCAATCACATGATGAATGAAAGGTATTCCAACTTTAAACTAATGGATTTTCGG